CCTTGTAACCTCACTATTTCACTGTTCACTACGAGAAAACGCCACGAAATCGTAGAAAAGGTATTTGAAAAATGATAAAAGGGAAGGTAAGAAAGAAGAGAGAGAGAGAGAGAGAGAGAAAACACGAACACAATGGCTTCATTTTCACGGTGACGTCACTGTTTCCACTTCCTGTTGTTTTGGCCTCCACCAGTTATTGTTTTTAATAATGTCTGAGTCTAATGAGTTCTGCGTATTGTTTTGAACTTCCTGTTTCCATGCTGTACCTATAGCGTTTTAGCTGCTACCATTTTTTGGGTCATGTTCTATTTAGGTAAAAAAACAGCTACGTGTGCAAAATGTCCAGTATCTCTAAATACAAATGTTTTCATGATTCTTAAAGCGACTCTTTAATAGAAAATGAATAAAACCCAAGTCTTTTGAATGTAGTTTTGGTTTGAAGCTAAGGTTAGCTAAGAGTGGCTATACTAAAACCATGATTTTTTTTTTATATATAGAGTTATATTTTATTTTGGTCTGCTAGAAGTCATACACAGTATGACATATATATATATATATATATATACTATATATGATATATAGTATGAGTATGAGGAGGACAGAGAAACCCCCCCGCCACTTCAGCACTTCCATACTTCCACTGGTATGTCATCAGGACCAACTGACTTTCCACTCTTCAGGATTTTTTTTTCTTACTTCATCCTTTCCAATCTGATCTACCTTCTCAGGCCCTGCTGGCAGAAGAACACAGGGTCAGTTTCACCGGTGTTTAGAATCTTGCATGTACCTGTGTATTTTGTGGCAAAACAGATAAAATGGAGCAGACACGATGGCATTTATTTGTCTGTTGACGTCATTCAATTAGCAGCTCATATTGTACAGTAGGTGTCTGGCAGCAGTAATAGCCATGTCTGCAGTAACAGGCTCTAAATACCATTAAAATCATTGTTTTGACAAGGTAATTCCCAGAACCACTGAACCATATGCCCTGGTATTGATATCCTCCAATCAGAGAGTAACATTTTAATTTAAAAAAGCAAGCACAGATGAGTACTTTCAGCCTGCCATTTCTCAAGTCACTCTCCTCCAGCCTCTTCAAGTGTAAATTGTCTCGTGGCGTCCCCCAATTTCAGCTAAATTGCCTTATTTGCACACCCAATGGCTGTGGTGTGTCACAGTCAGATTGGAAAATCTGGTGAGACTAATTGAAGCAACGTGTGTTTGGCGCCGCAACGGAACCAGATGTGGGCGTGTCCATGGTTACTTTGTTATTTTTGCTCTTTAATTGTCCGGGCACACGCTGCCTCCGTCTTATCTCCGCATTCCTCCTCAAACATGACTCATGCCTCTTTCTCATTCCCATCACTCCCACTCTTCTGCTCACAATTTCATTTTGTCTCCTCCCTTTTATCTCAGCCCTGCTCTAGGCTGTTCTCAGCTGCATCTCCATCCTCCTCTTCTCTGATTAATCGTGCGCCCTGGTGGCCGTCCAACAACAGCTGGTTCTGCTGGTGGGCAGCGGATGGTTAGTGAAAGTTGCTAAGCGAGTGTTCTTCAGTGGCATTATTTCATCTCTCTCTCTCTCTCTCTCTCTCTCTCTCAGTGGAGTCATCTAATCCAGCCTCTTAGAGCAAAAGACCCCAAGACATAGTTACATTACAAAAAGAGAACATGTGTATATGTATATAACTCAGGCTGCGTGGTCAGATTCAGACCTGTGCTCCATTGTCTATTCCTGATTGTCTATTCCTGCATCTGGATTTTACAAAAGTGAAGAATTGAAAACCTCAGTAAGATCTTTGATGTTCATTTGCTCTGACCTTTAGTGTTGATCTGTGGTCCAGTGCTTGACACCCTTGTTTTTTCTTAAAATCATAAACAGTTCCTTATGCCGTTCCTCCTACATAAATAAAGAAATTTGGGTTTTAAACTTTTCAACCACATCAAATGACATCATGTTTCTCTTCTCTTCTTGTTTACTTCTGACTCCAACATGTATTTTGATGTGTCTACATCAAACTATAATCAGGCAGTAAATATATTTTGCGACACGGTGCAAGTCCGTGTGATCTCTCTGCACGAGTGCATACGTATAAACAGTAAATACAGTTCCTGTCAAATTCATGCATGAACCACCAGGTCCAAACATTTCCATCACTGACAGTGAGTCAGTTTGTCCTCGTTGTTTTTATATCCAGTTTTCATCACTCTTGTGAAGAGAGGAGTATAGTTGTCCAAGTGAACACAATAGTGTGCAGTCGTCATGATTTTAACCCTGGTGTTGTGTGTATGGGTGTGTATGTGCATTGACACGGTGTGCATCAGGGAGTACAGAACTCCTTTGAGTCATACTCTATTCCTGCACATGGCTGCACTTAATTATGTATACACCTACCTGTTTCTGTTTCTGAGGAATAACTCACTCTGATCACAGTGTAGCAAATGAAGTGGCCTGTTTGTAGTATATGTTCAAACATTTCCTTCTTCATGCTGCATTCTCGAGATGCCCGACCCAATTAATTCAAACCACCGTCCATCTGGCTGTGACAATGTTTCTTATTGTCTGTACTCAGTAATTTAATTGAGCTAATCAGTAGTCCATCATTTCTAAATTTGAACACCGAGTGTTTTGACAGCCGTCGGCAGGGACCATTGATGTTGTGTCTAAATGAAAGCTAATGTCTCGTAAGTTGTAGAGAGTGGAAGTTCCCGCATCATTAGAACAGCAGCAAAATCTCATTTCAAAGATTATTTGCCAAGATGAAAAAGACAGATGGCAATAAGTGCCTCGCTAATTGGATGACATAAGAACATTTTAGGTCTGACACTAACTAATGATATGAAATATAATGATATAATTGTATTATTGATTATGGACAATTACAGTAAGAGCGTCTAGGTGAATTCCGAACACTGTCTAATCTGGTCCAATTTTGTTAATGAGATAATTCGATTAGGTGTGATATAAAAGCACCAACACTCTGGCACTGCCTTCAACCAAAAATGTGTTAAAAAAAATTTAAAAATTGGAACAACTTTAAAGATCTAGATGGAAGGACTTCAATCAATTCTTTTTCCAACTTTTGCACAGATAAAACATGAGAGCTGAGATAAAGCGTATCGGTGCTCGTACTGTACTCACTTGACTGTCATGTGCAGCAGCAGCTTGGCTACCATGGCGATGACGGTCAGGATGAGGAGGGCAGACAGGGCGTAGATGGTCCACACTTAAGAGAGGGAGACAGACAAGACACGCTGACATCAGAGAGCGTGTCCCTGTAATGAAAACAAACTGAAGCAGACTGGGAGAATTAGCAAGCAAATAATTATCCAAGCACCGCCGCCACACCTGTTAGCAGAGTACAGCCAGGAAATTGTCAAAGAACAGTGATGCATTATCGGCGCACAGCTGTTCCCCTCGGGTTAAGGAATAAATCAGATCGCCCTCCAAGAATGAGCTCGGAGTTTGTAAATAGTAATGTGTGAGCGAAGTGGAGAACAGGACAGTCCACTAACAGAGGTCTGTTGATGGTATGGAGAGTGAAGTTATCGTACAAGTACGAGTATTAGTCTTAGTACGTCTGGCAACACTGCTGCTGAGTAATAGAAAGGGGAAAACCTCACACAGCATTACTTATGATCGCAGGATGGCGCTCTGAGAAACTGAAAGCAACTGTGGGTTACCATATTTTCCGGACGATAAGTCGCACTTTTTTCATCCTTTGGATGGGTTTCGTGACTTATACATTAAAATAAATAATTTCCCCTGTTTGTTATTTTCACACTGACAGCCACTAGAGGGCACTCTAGGCTTGTGTACCAGTATCTGCTACTCCTGCAAGTCGCACTTCTTTTACATCCTTTGGCTGGGACTTATACTCAGGTGTGACCTATATATTAAAATATATAATTTCAAATGTTTGTTATTTTCAGACTGACAGCCGCTAGAGGGCACTTTAGGCTTGTGTACCATTATCTGCTACTCCTGTGAGTCGCACTTTCACTTTGGCTGGTGCAAATTATACTCCAGAGCGACATAGTCCGGAAAATACGGTAGTTAGATTTTCCCCATACTGTCAAAGAAAGCAGGCCATGCTAACTAGTCGATCCAGTCAGGAAGCACCCCAGCAGAGACAGAGACAGGAGTGGTGGTTGCAGTGTACAGTGGGTGTCAACATACTAGCGCTGTGGCCGTTGGTCTCGCCGCGTCCAGCCCGCTGACCTGGCATGCTGTGCTCCGGTTTACCGGGGCTGGACGTGATCACGTAGAGGATCTGGGAGCGTCCGTTGGAGGTACTGTTGGATCTCTCGGTGACGCCACCTGCCAGCCTTGGGCCTGCTGTACTGGAGACATCTTCACCCTCATCGTCATCCTCTCCTTCAGCCTCTAGTGTTCTGGTGTCTTGGCTTCTCAGCGCTACATCAGCGGTTACAGAGATTAAGAAGACAATGTTGTTGACTCCACATCCAATTGTTTGTTGCTAGTAAGCAACCTGAAAAGTATGTGTAATATATACAGTATATGTATATACAGTATATACATACATATATACTGTATATATATATACATATATATACTGTATATATGTATATATGTGCAGACATATATGCATATATAATATAAATGTTTATATATTTTATATATTCATATATATTGATATAGCTATATATGGGTCAGAAACAAACATCAGATGTCATCTCGCTAAAGAGCCACATGTAGCCCAGGAGCCATAGGTTGCCGACAACAACAGGTTCAAACCAAAACATTTCAAAACTGCTCCTGAACCTGGGAAGTGGAGACAGACAGATACACACACTTACAACATATTGGGATTTCAATGACTCAGTGACTCAGTCGTGGAGACTGATCTCATGACCAAACATACAGTGTTTCGACTTCATTTGTGCTCAAGATGTTCCCATGATAAAAAAAGAAAAACATTAATCAATAAAACATTATGAGAACAGTAATCGGATAACAGACGACTGCTGGGTGTGGCACTAATTAATATAATGACGGAAATTGACAGTTGAAGCATCCTGCTGTTCCGACCGCACTGTCACATGTATTTTAATACGAAAAGGTCATTTGCATAAGTGAGCTGTTTGCCTCTCCTTGTCATGTGACAATGCCAGCCGTTCACTCAGTCCACAGGTGTCCTAGACTTTACTTTTTTAATGTGATGTGCCCACTTTTACATTAAGCTAATAATGACTTGTAATTACTCTGATCATTGTTCCTGCGGTGACATCAGCTCAGGTGCGATGCCATTGTGATCAGCTGCACACTTGTTTACTTTACAGTCTCCTGCTTTTATAAGGTAAAAACAACAAAGAGTTCAAACGATCAGTTCCCTTTCATCTCTTACATCTCAACACCTGACTTTCTCATCTTCTACGCTGTGGTAGAAGATGAGAAGTCACTGTAATATGCTGCCAGCTTATGCTGCTGTGTTAATGGAAGATATATTTAGGGCGGGGGGGCTTTGGATAAAGACTATGGCCTTTACTGATGGTTATAACAGACCTCCTGAGGTTGGATGTCGTCCATGGGTTCACACTAGTACAATGTTTACCAAACTTTTTTTTCTGGGGACCCACATGTTAAAAGTCACAACCCTTCACGACCCAAGTCAATAGACATTATTAGAAAATTGTGGGAAACATGATACGAGACGACCCAAAAAAAATCTCTTGTGACCCACCTGAGGGTTGCGACCCAGTCTTTGGGAAACAATGCACTAGTACACATTATAAATTAAAAAAATGTATACGGAAAAATATTTAACTTGAAATTGGCCGTGCTGCGTGAACCCGGGCAATAACTCCGTGTCCACTTTGGGGCGCCGCATTCAACTTTGAAAGCCACTGGAAATCAAAAGTAACCCCTCAGCTGCATCGTGTGTTCCATGCTCTCGGGAAAAGTTGTGGTGAGTGGTGAATCTGTGCCATAGAGTCAAAGCTGTGAGTGATTTTTACAAGTCAAGGACACAAATCACTTAGCATGCCTTTGATCACGCCTGTGGGTAAACAGGCATGCTACAGCCAACACACAATAACAAGATAAGATTGTGTTGACTCTGTTGTTGAAAGTATATAGTATATACAGCTGAGTCACCAGTGACCATTTAATACCAGCTACACACACTGACTCTGCTGTAAACTTGTGGTGTCCAGTGCTGCTCCTGACATGAGTTCCATCTGAGATTTTTTCAACCTGCTTTCAGCTCCAGATGGGCAGAGTCTTCTTCTAAAAACCACAGCACCCAAGCCTGGGGATGGTTTGTAATTTTTTTAAAAGTATTCACAGAGCAAAGAGGTACTGTTAACCCTTGTAAAGTCCAAAGAAATAGACCCAATATGTCTTTGTGTCTGTGTGTGTGCACGTGAGTATGCGTGCGTGTGCATGTTCCTGTACTGCATGACTTGTGCCAACTTTTCTTCATATTCATTAATACTCATATTCTGGGAAAAGATGAAAATCATTGCAAGGACAAACGGTGTGTACAAAAATGCAAAGGACCGCACAAGGGTTAAAAAATAGGAAACAACAAAAACAACAACGGTGTCTTTCATACGATTCATACTAAAAATGAATGTCGATGTGATACGTGGAACACCTCATCCCAAAGTCTACGTGTCGTGAATACTTCTTGCTGGTGTTAGATGACCTGACCTCTACACCTGCAGATGAAAGCACTGGCATTGTTTTTTATTTCTACAGCTGTTAGAAAGTACAACTTGTTTCAGCCTTGTTCTTTTTTTTTTTTGTTTATACTAAAAAAAAAATTCAATAGAGCGATCCAACGATGTAAAACAACCTCAAAGAACCTAAAAAAAATTAGACATTTGTTCTTATTAGGTAGCTTTGAAGGGATTCCTTATGAAAATGAGGATTTACATAGATTCTAGACGACGATGTTTTCACAGTGTAGAATGAACTGCAGTAAATGGAAAAAAATCCATGGCTGCAGTTTGTGCTGGGGATTGAATTGATGACCTTCTTTCTGCAAGGCAAGAGCACTAACCACTGTTCCCGCATGTGGTCGGAGAAGACGGTTGACTATAACATGAAATGCTGGTTGATTTGCTGACAAATCAATTGTGTGATTGCTGACAAAATTACATACATATATATGTATATACAGTATGTATATATATATATATATATATACACACATGTATATATACATAGACACATATATATATACATAGACACATATATATATAATTTTTGTCAGCTGCCACCATCATTTCATTGGAGGGCCCTATCAGATTCAATATTAAAAACGATGTATTGTAATAATGTTCATTAATAATAATAATAATATTTTAAAGTAAAATAAAATTCGAATTGATATCTAATCCCAGGTCAGATGTGGAGGGCCAAAACTTGATCCCGGGCCGCGTTTGGGACGCCTGGTCTAATTGGTTGCTGCCCTGTAATTTTGTAATTCCTCCAGAAATCAATGAAGGCATTGTCTATATGAGACAATATCTCTCAACTAAATAATCAAATTCAAATCAAGCGGTTACATTTTTTCATTCAAAACTACAGCTGGATCTTTCTTTTTATGGAACTGGTCAACCTTCCAGAGAAATTAGTTATTTAATTTTTTTCAGAACTTCCTATTTGTTCCCCATTTGTAATTGAAGTACCGTGCCTAAAAAGCCTAGTTTGGCTGGCATTCTCTGCCACTGCCATCTGAGAGCATTTATCATGACAGCAATTTGAACTCCTCCCTTCGTGACTGAGGAGATATAGGATGTGTTTATCTCCTTATAAATATTGTGGAGTTTTTGGAAAGTGAGCTTTTATTTTCTAAAAGAATCCACTTTTTTTGTTTCGTGATGCCTGATGTAAAATACTGACATGGAAAATTAGAGGCAGAGAGACTGTTCCTGTTAAAGGTTCAGGGAACTTGGATCCTGGGATATTAGAGTAGACATTAAACAGAATGACAAATGTAGGTGGAGAAGGAAATGCGAAGAGTGTTTGAGCTTGAATGTCACCTAAGCTGAATTATTTGTGGTCTGTGCCACCGATTATGATATCAAAGAGAAGACGCGACAAATAATTCAGTGTGAGTTTTCTAACTTGTGCACAATGTCTTCTCTAAAGTCACATCATGGCATCTGGAGACAGGACGCGGAGCAATCACAGAGTCCTGTATGTAGGTGGCATAAAATAATCACTGTGGAAGTTACTGCAGAGGAGCTAAAGGTCTGCTGCAGGTTGATAAGAGAGTGAGTCCCATACAAAAATACACAACATTATTTGAATATGGAACCTCACACACAGGGCAGGGAAACATTGAATTGCAAATAAAAAAATAAAAAAAAGGATTTGCCAGTGGTGTGACATCGGGCTCACAGAGCTGATAGTCGTTACTTTAACTGTTTTTTTGTCACCTTAATGACAAAAAAACTGCCATGACTGCAGCATCAAAACAAACATGCAAAGGTGACTGATGCAGAGCCAACAGGAGTGTTGATGGACCACACAAACACCAGTCTGATCTCAAGTGGACCAGACCAGTAAAATGATAGCATAATAGCATATAATGACATCACTGAATGCAATTTTAACTGAATTTTACTGAATTTCCTCAGTGTGGGATGAATAAAGTCGTATCTTATCTTATCGTTATCTTCAATCTGCTCTGATGTATGGTTTACAGACAGTGGCTCTGACCATCCTCTCCTTGAATCGCAACCTTAACGTGGTGGAGGGGTTTGAGTATCCGAATGAACCTAGGAGCTATGTTGTCGGGGGCTTAACGCCCCTGGTAGGGTCTCCCAAGGCAAACAGGTCCTAGGCGACGGATCAGACAAATAGCGGTTCAACCCCCCCTTTGTGATGAAGAAAAATACAGCAAAGAGGTTCACGTCGCCTGGATTGGCGTCACCGGGGCCCCACTCTGGAGCCAGGCCCGGGGTTGGGGCTCGCAGGCGAGCGCCTGGTGGCCGGGTCCTTGCTCACGGGACTCGGCCGGGCTCAGCCCGAACAA